AAAAAGCTTTCCATCTCATTCTTTTAATTAATATTTCGGTTTTTTCTAGTAATCGCAACTTGTATTCTTTATTGGATGGTATAGGTATGTTTTTAGTTAAATAATTCAAGGTTATTTTTTCCATTTTAAACGACTTTAGAAGAGTGCTCAACTGATGGAGCAAATATATTATTATTATTGAGTTGTGTTGTATTCTGTTGGATTTAATACAGCTCTTTGTCGGTTTAAGAGTGATCGATATTTATAAAATAGATCAAAATATATTAAATATTTAAATGAAAAAATACGACTTTTTTATGGGACTTCAAGTTTCATGCCATTCGGCAATCATTCAGCCATATATTTAAAAATCATTAAAATAAAAACCGTTATAAAAATACAAAATTGCGTTGCAACGAGATCAAACGTCAGTTTTCACGCCAAACGGGAATTTATTTAACCGGTGTCGAAATTCGATAGCAAAAACTTTTTTCTGTGCATACATGCTGAAACCAATTCACTTTTTTTATTTAACAAAGGTTCTTTATTGTATGTTGAAATAAAATATTTCTCATTTATGCAAAGATTACATCTTTTTGAGGATGGATTATAGGGTTGACATTTTTTAACAATACTCCACTTGATTATTGGTTTAATGCCTGCTTCCTTAAGTTTCCAGATCTCTTTAGAAAGATCAGTGTCATTTTTATACCTGACCAAGTTGAATGATTTTGTGGTTTGCAAACCTGATCTTGAAGGAGTTTTCGCTAATACCAATATAAGATTTCTTAGCTTGGTTAACGTTCGCTGGTGTTACAGTAGAGCTGTATTAAATCCAACAGAATACAACACAACTCAATAATAATAATAATAATATATATATATATATATATATATATATATATATATATATATATATATATATATATATATATATATATATATATATATATATATATACATATTATATAATCAGGGTGTAAACTAGCCCTGTGGGGCCCCAACAAATGCGGTATTCCCAAATGCTCAAAAAATTAAAATTCTTAATTTAAAAGTGAAAAAATCCCATTCTCTAAATAAAGTTTGCCAAATTAAAGTTTAACAATAATTCTAAAAATTGTTGAAAATTAATTACTATTAAAAACTAATAGAAAAATAACATTAAAAATTATAATTTATTGTTTAAAACTTGAAATAAAATTGCCGTTATTGGTATAACTATGCACTTCCATAACTGCAAAAATATGTTTTGGAAAAAAACTTTTTGAGAACTGGGATTTTATCAAAATCGCTTAGAAAAAAACTCATTTCTCAAAATTTGAAAATAATTTTTTGCAATGCATTCCAACAACAGCAAATATAATAAAAAAATAAGAAAGAAGTAAAGTACAATTAAAAAATTACAAATTTATTTGGTTTAACAACCACAAATGAGATTTCTTTAAAAGTTTCGCCCTTTTTGGCTGAAAAGTTAAATAAGTTTAATGTTTTTTGATTATTACAAACTGATTCTAGAATTTTATTTAATGAGGAAAATAGATTTCTTTACTTACTGGTTGCTTATACTTAAAATGTAAATATGTTTAATGTTTTTTTTTTTATTAAAACAAACTGGTACTAGAAATTTAAAAAACAAAAAAACTAGATTCACTGCTTACTTGAATTTAAAACATAAAAGGAAATTTAAATGTTTCAATGAACCATAGTCATAATAACATTTATGACTATGCATGAAAAAATAATTATTGGTATTCTTCATTGCCATGATAATGTGCAATCCCTTACAATCTTTTGTAATTCTTTTGTAATTTTAAACAACATTTGTTGTTGTTTTTGCTGAAATTTACGAGCTTTGTTTACTATTTTCAAAACTCTTTTTATTTTTTTATTTTAAAAACATTTTTTTTTTGACGACACAATTACATGATGGTGTAAGGGTTCATCCGTAAAGGACATCAAACAGAATTTAAATAATAATTAGAAGTAAAAGATCGCTATGTTTATTTAAAAATGGCTATATTACTTTAAAAAATGTCCTTTAATGTCCGCCAGTGAAAAAAATATATATACTCACAAGAATACTCTTAACATAAAAGCGGTAACGATATATTAAGATTAAAAGTAAATCAAATATTATTCTTAATAATTAATTAAAACATACTGATTATTTAAAAATATAAAAATATATTTTTTAATATCTTTGGAAATTGGAGCTTGGTTTGCCTTGTCTCATATTGAGAAATGGTTTTGGTTTTTTTTTTGTTTTGTATGCTAATGGAAAGCTTAAAATGTGAACATTTACATATTTTGAGGCAAGGAGTCCAATAAAACAACTTAAAATATATAAAAATAAACAAAACACTTGTAATTTTAACCTTTATTGCAATTTTAATAGGGCGAGGTTAATTACAAAAATGCTGATGTAGATTTTTTTTTTTTTTAGATTTTGTCTTGAATAGTTTAGTCAAAGTTGTTAAAAAGAATTGGAGAGTAATCTTTTTTTAAACAGAGAAAAAAAACATGGTCAATTTTACACAAATTTGCTACTTATAAAACAGGAATTATGAAAAATGAAAGGAAAAAAAGGTGGTACTCTTAAATGCCTAATACATACAGTTAATATTTAATAGTTTTCAGAAAATTTTCCTACCCACACTGAGCTTATTAAGACGCCCTCCCCCAGTTTATTAAATATTACTCAGTTATGTTATGATAATATCTCTTTCAGATGACAATACTTGTCTCATTGATTTCACATCAACTGCATTGTCAGTCACAAAGCTTTTTACTGTGCATCCAAATTTACATCTTACAAAATCTATTGCTTCTCTTGCTAATTGTGTAAGATATTCACCAGTATGTGAATGACCAGAAGTGTTGATTGTTTCTACTAAAATGTTAATTTTATCTGTAATTAAAGGTGGTACTCTTAAATGCCTAATACATACAGTTAATATTTAATAGTTTTCAGAAAATTTTCCTACCCACGCTGAGCTTATTAAGACGCCCTTCCCCAGTTTATTAAATATTTCTCAGGGATGAAGAGCCTCCAAAAAGTCTATGGTTTGAAAGTCACAAAAAGATTACTTCTTCCTAGTTTTTAGTACCCAGGAATTCTAAAAATATTAAAAAGCTTATGGACTACTAATGAGAAAAAAATTAAAATTTTTAGTTTTTGAACCTGAAGTCCTTAGGTATAATGGCAGCAAGCACTTACTTATAGAAATAAAAATTCCAACTCTCCTGTTTATTAATAGCCCCTTTCTTCTCCCTCCCTCTTGCTTTCCTCTGCCCTAAATGATTACATTAGATCAAAGACTTGATTTGTCTATTAATTGAATGAATTTAATAAGTTTATTAGGCTAAATTTTGAATGCAAGCGATCAGTATGTTTTATAATCATTTCTCTTCCTTTATTTACAACTTCCTCCAAAACTCAAAATACAATTGAAAAAGAGAGCGCAAAATTAGAAACATTACCTCCTGAATTAGTAATAATACTAACCATTATTGCAGTATGTTACCTAACTAGAAGTCCCTTGCCTATTACTGTGAGAACTATTTTCTTTAAAACGCCCCATATTTAGAAACATTAATAAAAAAGGCAGATTATGATTCTGAATTTCCTCATTTAAACTTATCTACTGACAATGTTTTTTATTTCTGTTTTAGAAAAGACCACAATCCAATTCATTGTGTAAACTCTAACTAAATTACTCATAATAACTTTTAAAAAAAATTGAGCCTATACATTTGCACTTTTATAATTCAACTCATCCCCGGTAAAATTTTAATAAAACTTTTTAAATTTAAATTTGGATTTTATTAAATTACCAAGAAAACAGAAAAAGCAAGTCAGCAACAATTAAAGGTACAGTTTGATATGGTCAAAGCTGTTCCAGTTGCATTATTATCAAGTTACACTCTGGTGCTTAATACAATGTGGGGTAGGAATAAAAGGATGGATGGGAATTTTTATCCTGATGTAATAAATTTAGGTAGATGGGAAAGTAAGAAGATGGGAGGAAGGTAATCTTAACAAATAGGTGAGTGGGATTTTTTTTTTCTTCCTATAAGTGAGTTTATATTTTTAATATTTAAGACCTAAACTGGTTTCAAAAATTAGAATAAAAAACTGAAATTTTTTAAGATTAAAGGTATAGTTCTTTGTTCATAACAAGTAAAATTTAATAAACTGGGGGAGGAGGTCTTAATAAGTTCAGGGTGGCAGGCTTGGACATGAATGGCGTCCGATCGAGCAATGCTGACCAAGCAAATGTTTTTATTTTTGACATTTTATTTTTTGAAAAAAAATTCTTTGAAAAAAATAAAATGTTTTTTTAAATGATTTAAAAAAATTGTAAATTTAATTATAAAAATTAATTGTATGAACGTTACAAAATGCTTCAAAACTTTTCCATTAATCAACAAAATACATACTTATATATGTAAATAAAGTTATTTTATTTTCTTGTATAATTCACACAAAATGTGTAAAAGCTAGTAGTCGCAAAAGGTTTTGAACTTATTCATAAATTAAAGTAACTTAAAAAAAAATATTTCTAAAATTAATGTTTTAAAAGATTTTAAGGAAGACATGGGAAAATAGTTTCAAACATTTAAATTTATCATGAAAAATACATGAGAATGTACATTATTTAATTATGCACAATAAGTTGTAATTGGTAAATCAATAAAAAGATTTAAATTTTTAACATATACAACAATAATATGTAATTAACAATTTTTAACAATGTAATTTACAAATAAATTCGCTTAACCAAAGCCAATGGTGTAAAATAAAGAGAACTGTACATTAGAGAACTATGCATCATCAACAACTTGTGTTAATAATACACCCTATGCAACAATACAATGTTGATGCACCTTATGTTTCAATTTTAAATGTCAGTTTTAAATTTAACTATTAAGCCATTTTAAAAAAACTGTTTATAAAGACGGAGTAAATTTAAAATAAAAATATCAAAAAGTATAAAAGCAACAACATGAATATTATTTACCTGCTCTGAATGTATCTGCACATACTAAACATGTCTTCCAACCTTTCCTTTGGTAATAATAAGCCAGCTTAAAATTAAAAAAAATATTCTATGCTTCAAATTATTTTAAATGTCAGTTATCATTGAAGTCAAAAAAAAAAATTACTAATGTATCTACTGACCATACATCAATAGTTAATCCTTCATTATAAAAATTAATAAATTTGATTTTGACTCAGTAAAAAGTAGTCAAAAAATAAATTTATTAATTTAAAAATATATACTTTTTTTTAATTAATAAATCAAAGTCTTTAGTGAATACTTTGTAATGAGTCAAGACTTTAATAAAAAATTTACAATTTAACAATTTACACTACAAATTAGTGAGACACTATAGAGTCTTAAAAAGTGATACTATGTTAATAGCTGATGCTGAAGCTATACTGTTGTCTGGTTAAATATATTAAAAAAGCAAATGTGACAAACTTAAGCATTTATAAAATCTGTTAAAATAGTTGGAAACTAGCCAATATAATAAGCAAATAAAATGACTGCCTACAAAAAACACCAGCAAATTAATTGTGCTAAATATTATCTAGAGGCTATTACAGCGCTCAAAATAACAGCTGCTCAATGATCGGCTATTTTTAGGGAAATTTTGAAAAATACAAGGGAAAACAACCTGTTTTTGTGAAAAAATTACATTTGATCAGCAAGCTTTGAAAAACTTTTTCGAGCGCTTCTACTACTCTGTTTTTTAAATCTATTCACTACCAACTGTGTTCTAGAGTTTTAATCCTATACCATGTCTAAAAATGCTGAGCTATGTCCAAGTTTACAATGGTATGAAAACATTTTTACAATGGTATGAAATGGTATAACCTTTATAATAATATTTACCATTTTTATAATGGTATGAAATCAAAAATTTCAGTGGTATGAAATGGTTAAACAGAACATACCACCATAACTAGTTTTTGGATATGCATAACTTGCAACCACTGGTGCAGGGTGGCCACTCAAATTTGAAAATGAAATTCCATGACTTTTTCATGACTTTTCATAAACTTTTATGATAAACCACTAACCAGTAAATTGTTCAGTACTTGCCATGCACTAAGCATTTGGTCAGGGTTGCAAAAAAACCAGTTTTTTTGAAAAAAACCAAAAACCATAAGTTTTTTTTGAAAAAAAAAAAACAAAAAAACCATGGCTTTTTTGGTTTAAATTAGGTTTTTACTAAAAAATGCGGTATTTAGTTATCCTTTTAAATTAAAAAAAGCATAACGTATTTTATTTGAGTAAACTATATTCTTTATCAATATTATTGTTATATTTCATCAAAATTATTTAATATATCATTGTTTAATGTTCTATATATAAATACAAGCTTTGCTGCTTTTTCTACCTCCAATCGGATTCTTAACTTAGAATGAACAAGACCAAAAGTTGAAAAAATTCTTTTGATTCCAGCACTAGAAGCTGGTGCATTTAATAAACCTTCAATTTCCATTATGTTAAAGTAGATTTGGCTTTTAATTTGAATAATATTGGTAACAAATTCTTGAACTCTTTATTTGCGAAATTCATGGCAGCTTCATTTTCATTTTCAGAAAGATTAGATCCAAAATATCTAGGATCTAGTATGTTTGCTAGGAAATGAGCATCACTGACAGTCTGAAGGTATCTAGATTCAATTTTTTTTTTTTTTTTTTTCGTTGGATAAAAATGATAAATTGTTCATCACATCTTTAAAATTTTCAAGAGTCACTTATTTTTGTTTAATCTCTTTGCAACTTATCTAGAGCTACTGCAATTGGTTTCAATATTTTTAATAAATCTTATGTGTTTTGCTTTATCTGTATATAAGTCTTTATTTTTTTTTTAAATTGTAAAAAAAATGCTCCAGTTGTTGACATATTTTTCAAGTAAATCACATACAGAACTCCAGTGAGTTTCAGTAGAAAGTGGCAATTTTGTTCCTTTGCTTAATTTATGAATTGCTCCAGCTTGATGATTATTTCTTATATATTTTATTATTTGTGTAACATGCTTGCTCACATTTTCAATGTTAAGATCATTTGCGAAAAGATTCAGCATATGAGCAGCACCACCCATAAGTTATGATAATATCTCTTTCAGATGACAATACTTGTCTCATTGATTTCACATCAACTGCATTGTCAGTCACAAAGCTTTTTACTGTGCATCCAAATTTACATCTTGCAAAATCTATTGCTTCTCTTGCTAATTGTGTAAGATATTCACCAGTATGTGAATGACCAGAAGTGTTGATTGTTTCTACTAAAATGTTAATTTTATCTGTAATTGCAGAGATACAAACTATAGGTTTATTATGTACATTACCCCAGCCATCTAAGGACATGGCTACAATTTTTCCATTCAATACATTACATTTTTCAATTTCTTCTGTGTAAACACTACCTTTTTTTTTTTTTAATTATTCACCATTAACCATTTACTTTAATTATTCAAGGCCCAAGGGGGCTACTACAGTTAAGGAGACTATTCTTTTTTTTTTTTTTTTTTTTTTTGTAAATCGTGGTACAACCCTCTCTTAACTCTTTAACTCCGAAACACGAACCTTGACAAGCAAGGCGGCTGCGTGGAGAAATTAAGTTGAGCGCGGTACTTCCAGGAACATGGTGAGAGTCGAACTCCGAACCTCTCGCTTCCAAAGCGAGCGCTCTTACCACTACACCACTACCGCATATATATCTAATATTTCTCCTCCAATTTCAGTTCTATTAGGTAGAGTGTATCCTGGATGAAGCAAATTGACGAATTAAAAAAAAAAAAAAATCATGAAAAAAATTTAAAAAAATATCTCTATTGAAGATTAGTTATATTTGTGAGCATAACCCTGTCTTAGTTTCCTGTTTTAAGTTCAAATCTTTTAAAAAAAAAAACATTAGTTTGGTTTAAACCAACATTTTTTTAATTGGTTTAAACCATGGTTTAAACCATTTGGTTAAAACCACGCAACCCTGCATTTGGTAGAAAATTCTGAAATTATGTCTAAAAAAAACTATTGTTTTACTTCTCTGATAATCTGCAAAAATATATTTTTCAAAAAGGACTTAGACTAAACATACTAGTACTTTTCTTTGCATCCTAAAAATATCACAAGCAGAAAAAAATAAAGGTCATTTTAAGTTCCATGAAATAAATAAGATCATTTTAAATTCCATGAACTTTCCATAACTTTCAATGAAAATTTAGGAATTTCATGACTTTTTCCATGACCAAATAAAATTCCATGACATTTCCATGATTTCCATGACCAGTGGCTCAAATAAAGATCAATTTAAGTTCCCTGAATTTTCCATAACTTTCAATGAAAATTTAGGAATTCTATGACTTTTTCTATGACCTAATAAAATTCCATAACATTTCCATGATTTCCATGACCAGTGGCCACCCTGTGGTGTTTTGTAAGGCTTTTTAACTATATTTAAGCCCCTAAAATTATAAATGTTCACTTTGCAATTTTTTCTGTAACCATGTGATTACGCATGTACAAAAATTTGTACATGCGTAAAATTTTTGTTTATATTTTAAAGCAATGACGTAACTTTAAATGCGTTACTTCCCAATTCACTATGTAATTAAATTTATTAGAACAGCTATTTTAGCGAGACAAATTTTAGTGTATAAATAAAAAAAACTTTGGCGGTTTTTTTTCTCTTGTGGCTAGTCTACAAACATCAGATAAGTTGTTTAATCCTCTGATATCTATTGCATACTTGTTATTTATCAATAATTATTATTTGATTTTATTTGTTTGTATTATATTTGTATTGAGAAGTTTATTTATCACTATGCATTCTAGTGAAAGGGAGATATTAATACTATAAATTGGATGCTTAAAAGCTTAAGCTTTAAATTTTTAGGCTAAATATTCTAAAATGTAAACCTGTTTTTATTTAATGGAATCAATTTTCAAAAACTAGTCATTTAACAGTTTATCCTCGTTTTAACAACATTTTCGTAATTTTGCAAAAAATTGATTTGATTTACTGGCATAAAATAACAAATGTTTTAGTTAACCTTAAACATTTAAGTAAGATTTTTTTGTTTTTATAATAGTTAAACAATGTGTACATTTAATAATAAATATCGAAAATATATTCTTTCTTATTTTTTTTTTTTTGATAAAAAGTTACATCAAATTACTAATATTTAGCCAAGTTCAACATTTGTTTATTCTAAAATTAAAGAAGTTTTTTAATATATCTGTGAAACGTCATCAAATAAAACATTTTATTGGTATTTTTATTCTTTTTACAGAACAAAATTATCTCTAATGTTTCAAAAGTTATAAAAGTTTTAGTAACACCCCTTACGTGAATATTTTCAAAAAATAACAAGAAGCCGTAAAGCTCGCTTGAAACAGCCGTGAAATGCGTCCAACAATATTTTTGAACCTTTAAAAATAAACTTTTTTCTCATTTTAGATTTGCTATTTTAACTATTTTAACAAACTTTTAAACTGCATTAAAAAAACAAAATTATAGTAATTTTATTTTAATGTTTGTTTATAAATACAATTGTTTATAATCATTATTGTACAACTTTAATTTTTATTATTTTTATAGAAATTTATTAATTCTATAAAAAACTAGATAAAAAAACAAACTAATCAATGTTATCAAAATGAAATAAATAACCTAAAAATCCATTTAATTTAAAAACAAGCACACCATATTAATAGCAAAATGTAATATGTTATTTAAAACAAACATACCATTGTTACGTTAAAATAATTACAGGGGCTATTCTAGACCATTTTCAATGGAATGGAGAGGTATCGCCGCCCAAACTTTTTTTCTAGAACAGCCCCTGAATTATTAGATAGTAAAAACACATAAAAAACAAAAATGGCATAATTAAACATTTCTCTTTCAACTTGTTCATCTCAAACAAATATTGCAAAACAATGTGTCACAACTAGAAATACCTTAGTACAAGTTGTGGTTTTTCCACTCCCTTGTAGTCCAACAAACATTATCACATTGTTTTTTCCCTTGATTGGTTGCCATGCTTTGACTCCAGGATCAACTAGCTAAAAATGGAAAAACCTAAAGGAAATTATAAATCATCAATACCTACAATAAAATATGAATACTTACAAAACCAATACCTACAATAAAACAACCTAATGTAAACTTTTAAGAAGTTGATATCACATATTTAAGGTAAACATTGATCATTTCCGCTATCGAGCACTATCATTGATCTAATAATGATCACCAGACTATGGAATCCTAATTTTTAAGAAAAATCTGGAATTTTTTGAACTCCAGGTAAAAACTAGGATTCCAGAAAAAAAGATTTTAAATTGTTTTGCAAACAGTGCCATAACTAAAATTTGTTGAAGTAGCAAACTTATGTTAATGGATTGTCAATTTATACATTACATCCACATCCAGTTTTCAATGTCATACATAAATTAAAAGATACAGTGTTTACAAAAAATGTAGTAACTTTAGAACTACATGAACCACAAACTAAATCTGAAATAGAAAACAGTAAAACTGAATAGTCAAACTGAACTAATTGTTTTGATAACAAAAGTCTTTAAAGTAATAGAAGCAATGACTAAAATTTTTGCATTTTATAAGTGCAATGAAGTTTTGCACGCACTTACAAGAATTAATGAGATTTTGCACACACTTACACAGTTATTATAAAGTATGATTAAATTACTTTTGATATTTTTACTAATTTACTTTGGTATGCACTAGTACAAAAACTGTTTTAGAGAAACTGCTTGGCACATATACAGGAGTTAATTTCTTTACTAATAATTAATAATATATAATCTTAAAGCTTACACTACTTCAAGGTTAGTTTAACCTTAGGTACAAATAAGAAAAAAGTTACAGGAAGTACTTACTCAGATTAAAAGTTTCTGGTTCATGCAAATATCAGTTGGATAGTATGGTAGTTAGAGTTTATGTAGATTTTTAATTGCGCCAGTTAGCACTAACACTATTTAATAGTAGCATCAGTTTGTACAAAGCTTCATAAACTTTTTTTGCTGTTTAATCTCATTGTTGCATTATATCTTTTACGAGTCAGAAGATTAATATCATCAATAAAAATGAACAGATTCTTTAACATTATTACATCATCACACATTACTATCATTGATCATTATTGCTGACCATTATTTATTTATCAAAGCAAATTACTTATTATTATTTATTCATTATTTTAGTACTATTTTAAACAAAATTAAAATTTTAATAAATTTAAAAACCAAAAACCTTGCATAGCTCTTGGAATACAGTATGCTGTATAAGTCTTCGTTTATTTGTGCCAGCAGCCATTTCTTCAAAATTGGCTGCATTTCTAAATTATTTCTAATAACTTTTTACAATTATAAGTTACTAATAATATGTTAAACAAAAGTTTATCTAAGACAATCAAAAACAAATGTATAAAATCATTTTAATTTATATAACATAAAATTTTAATATATATATCACAAACTTTATATTTGCTCTTAATTTTTGAACAAGTTGAACATTGACATCTGCTTCAAGTAAAGCTGCACATATTTCTTTTAGCATAAGGTTTAAAACCTCTTCATTTATAACTGTAGCATTGCTCAGAGATTTTAAAGCACTTGTAATTTTTCTACCTAAATCTGCTAAAACCATATTTTTGGTCAATATATATATAGTATAAATACCTAAAATAAAAATAAAATACAATTAAATACAAAATAAAAAAAATTAAAAAAAATTAAAAAAAATTAAAAAAATACAATGAATCATAATACAACTAGTCATTAAAAGTATTTAAGTTATATTTGAGTTTTAATTTTAAATTAATAATTAAAATGAAAACTCAAATAATTTTAGTTTTATCTTTATCTGTACCTAAAGATAGAATTAAAAATAAATTAACTTTGAATAGATAACAATAAATGCATCAAGCAGCATCATAGTATGATTATTATTAAATTTAAAAAGTAAAAATAAATATATATATATATATATATATATATATATATATATATATATATATATATATATATATATATATACATATATATAAATTATAACACACACACACACACACACACACACTCACGCACATGCACACACACATAAATGTATATATATATATATATATATATATATATATATATATATATATATATATATATATATATATATATACATATATACATATATATATATATATATATATATACATTTGTGTATTTTTATATATAAATACATTGTGTGAGTGCATGTGCGTGAGTGTGTGTGCGCGCGTGTGTGTGTGTGTATTTAACATTTTATATTTATAACATTTATATAAGTTGATTCTTTTTCTGCTGCCATCTTGTAGTAAAATAAAGTGTTATAATTGTATATATATATATATATATATATATATATATATATATATATATATATATATATATATATATATATATATATATATATATATATATATATATATATATATATATATATATATATATATATATATATATATATATATATATATATATATATATATATATATATATATATATATATATATATATATATATATATATATATATATATATATATATATATATATATATATATATACAATTATAACACTTTATTTTACTACAAGATGGCAGCAGAAAAAGAATCAACTTATATAAATGTTATAAATATAAAATGTTAAATACACACACACACACACACACACACACACACACACACACACACACACATACACACACACGCGCGCGCACACAAACTCATGCATAAACACATAAATGTATTTATATATATATATATATATATATATATATATATATATATATATATATATATATATATATATATATATATATATATATATATATATATATATACATTTATGTGTGTGTGCATGTGCGTGAGTGTGTGTGCATGTGTGTGTGTGTGTGTGTGTGTGTGTGTGTGTGTGTGTGTGTGTGTGTGTGTGTGTGTGTGTGTGTGTGTGTGTGTGTGTATTTAACATTTTATATTTATAACATTTATATAAGTTGATTCTTTTTCTGCTGCCATCTTGTAGTAAAATAAAGTGTTTTAATTGTAACAGAAACATTTATTGTTCATTACTACTCTGTTTTAAATCTACTTTCTTGAATCAACCAAGTTAATTTAGAACCTTAGAAATTTAGATTTCAACTTCCTTGAATCAAGGCTGGATTTAATTGTAAGTATGAAAGTGTTCATAGTAGTTCATCCGAATGTATTATGCAAATTAGTTCATTTTACAAAATGCCTAAATCTAAGGCGAACATAAGTTTTAACTGATTGATTTTTTTCAAAACAAATTTATACAATAAGAAACAACAACAAAAGCTATATTGTTAATATAGTTTAACTATATTTTTTTAGGTCATTTATATGTTATAAAACTTAGTCTTCTTATTAGAGCACCATATGTGATATTTAATTAAATATTATTAACTTACCAAAGTACCGAATGTGTTATTTACTTTAATATTATTAAATGAAATAACACATTTGGTACTCTAATAAGAAGACTAAGGTTTACAAGATATAAATGACCTAGAAATTTTGCAATTATAATAAAAAAAACTAAGCTATAAGTAGCAAATTATAAAATTAGGTCTTATAAAAATTTAAACAAGTCGTATTTGTGTATAATCTTTTTAAATTTTTAAATTAGCAAATGGTAATAAGATATCGTTGTATAAATAGGATTTCATAAAACTATCCTATAGATAGGATTTTATAAAGCTCAACCTCTACGTTTAAGAAATCGTTTCATAAACTTGTAAGATAATTAACAAAGCCAAGTACTGTGTAAACTTTTTGTACGTAACGTGTTTGTACGTAACGATATCTAATTGAAATCGATTGCCGACACAAATTGTATCTACAACTTTAATAAAAAATTTTGGTAATGGCTTCCTCGCAACATTAGTCGTGAATATTAGCAAGATTGAACTTTTATTACTACTACAAACATAATAAAATGTAAAAAGTAATCAATACAGCTCCATTATTATTAGTCGTGGAACAAATCTCCGCTTTTAAATTTTTTTGTTTGTAAAAAAAAGTCCGTTTATCGCTTAACTTAAACGCGCTTTCAACTTAAACTGCTTTGTAACAGTATTTTCAGCGCAACACGAGACGTTAGGGGCCATCCATAAAGGACGTCACCATTTTTTAGCCAATTGACCCCCTCCCCCCTTTGTCACCGGTTGTCCTTTTTCCCTATACCCCCCTTGAAAAGGACTTCATAAAATCCTGAACCCCCCCCCTATTTTTAACTCCAAAAAAATTTAGTTCATCTCGCAATGATGTTTGAATCTGTTGCTACACTTTTGAAAAATAAAATTGAAAATATTCTCATACATTATCTTCTTAAAAACACATATTTACGTAGTTTTCCATGTTAATTAAACTAAAATAAAAAATCTATAAAGTGACGTCCTTTTCTGACAACCTTCCCCCCCCCTTCTCCTTGTCTTTTTAACTAGACGCCCTCCCCCCCCCCCCCCTATTTGGATGACGTTCTTTACGGATGGCCCCTTAAACGATTAGACGAGAGACACGTGTAATCTTTAAATGTCTTTTTTGATACACAAAGATTTTTTTTTTAATTTCTTCTTTATCACCCGGCAATAAATTACAGGTAAAATAAATTATATTAAGATAATCACCAATTAAATTAAAGTCAGCTAAAACGATACGGCTCACGCTGTTCTTAGCATTAAATGCTAATAACCATCCGGTGTGATTTCTACAAATATTTGGATCAGACTTCTCGGCACATTCTCCTCCATCAAAATTTTAAACGGCTCTCTCTTTTTTTTCAAATTCCAAAACTGGAACGTTTCTTTCAATATTGATACAACATCAGCTTGCAGGTCTTCGATAGGTTGCGTAAATTTAATTTTATTTAATCATAATTTTTATCATGCATTGGACGAAGTTTAAACCAAGCGTGTGGCAGGCTTCAAACACCATTTGTAAAGAACTTTTTTTTTCTGTATTGCCTGTAACTGATTAATAATCAGTGAATAGCAAGTTTGATTTTTCAACAGCATGATAAAAAGATTTACTTTGTTTCTAAGTAGAGTTGTTGAAATATCCTATTCTAAAGAACGAATGTAGGTAATTTTTACTGTACTTCGAGATAAAAAAAAAGATTTTAAGACTGCTCTTCCAACAGCGTCTATTTTGCTAAGAAAACTAATATCATATTTGCATAGCTCAAGAGCTTCGGCATAGTTAAGGTATTATACAAATAGACTATTGTTGACGGCTGGCAGTAACGAATCCTACGGTCAATTAGAGCAATTGCAATCAATTGAAACTGAGATATACGCTCACTTTTTGGAGTGTTGCAATTTTCATTTTGCTAGTATCGTTATCATATAGGAAACCCAGATATTTTTATTTAATTTGAAGGTAAATAGAAGCACGTTAATTCAAATAACGTTGTTGGAAATACTACTTTTCTAAGAAATCAGAAATTCCGTTTTCTTACTGTTTAGCTTGATAAAGTTTGCTACTCCGTATGTTTGAAATTTTCGTATCTTTTTATTTTGAAAATAGCAAAAAATTGTCGCATATTGCCAACGTAACATACTAAAAGGAGGTATTATATAATACATTAAGCGATTATAACGCAAAAATAAGAGACTGCAAACAATTATTTATTCTATAAATGGTTAACTTGAAAAATCAATTTTATTAGTTCACACCAGTGGTTAGATTCCAGTGGTAAGAATTTTAAATTCGCAGGGTTGAGAAGATTCTCAAAGAATTGTGAACTAAACTTTTTTTTAAGAAAAAAACATAACTTAGAATAGCATAGGATTCAAAATTAGCAGCAAGTACTAATAATCTGAGTTTGAAAATAAAAAAAAGACCGCCTTTATTTATTTTTATTTTTTTACGTAACTTACATTAATAACACTACTTACAACTCACACACACGCGCGCACAAACAAAAGTTTTCCATAAATAGATTCATGTAAAAGTTCTCTTAAAGCTACCATGTTTTATAATTAGGATCAGTAAAAATTCACGGAGTCACAGATGCCGTGAATTCTGCAAATTTCAGCAAAAGCCATGAATCCCGTGAACCAAATCGTCGCATTGGTTTGACAAGGTTCTAACTGATTCGTGAGTAGTTTTTAGTAAAGTGATGTCAATTTATGTAATCGATGTAATTTTTCAAAATTACTCGGGTAATTTCAGGTAGTTTTAAATTTTACAAGTTTTTCAAAAGTTGTTTTCGTAAATGAACATTTTTGGCTGTGATCAACTTTGCTAAAAACATTTAACTGTATAAAAAAGTTTTATAAAATAAACCCACCTTTATTGAATTTGTTGAGGTTCCCAGCTTACTCCGTAACTCTTAGAAAAATAGTTAAACAATGTAAACAAATTAAAATTGAGATTTTCAGCCCGTAAAGATTTATTGTGAAATTAAAGTTTGAATTTAATTTGTTTGTTATTAATATTATTGTCAAATTTATAAACGTTTTTTGATAACAAAGTTGTGTATAAGAAACTAGTACTAAAAATAAGAAATTAGTAGAAACTAACCCTAAAATCTCAAGAAACTATTAGTATTAAGTTACTTTTCGATAAGAAACTTATTTTATTCAGAGTTTAAGTTGTAAGTTTTCACCTACATATCACATTAACATAAGTCGAAGCTAAAACCGAGCAGTATCTGCAATAGAGAATAACAGTTGAAATGAGAATTTAATTTGAATGTTCAATCAAATGGAATTTCGTTCGAAATTTTCTTAAGAAAATTTTTTTTCTTTAAAATCGATTGAATTGAAACATCGCTAATAACTCAGAGTAAATATCTTAATGATAATAATAACAATAATAATAACAATAATAATAGTAATAACAATAATAACAATAATAATAATAAAAAACGAAGGCATCAGATTTCGTATGAAAAACATATAAAATAATCTTATACGGAATTTAATTAATTTATATTGCAATATAACTCTTAATAACCATTAAAGAATTTTTAGTATGAGATCAGGAAAATAGAGAACTTAAAATGAGACACTTTCTAGTAATACTTAATTTTCTTGGTTTCTTATAGAAAAAAGTGGAACTATTTTTTAAAATATACATAGTTATTATTTATTACATATAACTACTGTTTGTCATTTTTCGTCACTATATTTAACAGAGGAAAATAGATTTTTAAAAAATGCCTGACTTTAAAGACGTCTGTTCTCAAAGAACATCACGTGTTTGGGAGCATTTTTTGTATAGCAAAACAGAAGATAGTGCAAAGTTTGTTCAGCAGTTTTGAAAGCGTATGGAACAAAAAGTCTTATATATCACCTTCAAGCAAAGCATAAGACTCTAGCTAAACATTGCCTTGAGAAATATCTGTCGCTAGAAAAACAATCATCAACACCATCAAAAGTTTCTCGCATTGATACTTTTTTTAAGAAAGGCTTTGAATCTCTCGGTGAGGCGTAAACCAAATTAATTGCAGATGATGGTCTTAGTTTCAACAAAATTACAAATAGTGTTCTGCTTAGAAGAGCATTTAAATCAGATGGTTCCAAAAAGTCCTCAAAATATAAGATCAATTTATTGCAGTATATGGTAAAAGCTTATACGGATTATCTTTGATGAATCCACTTCAGTCAGAAACCGTCTTTTTATGAATCTGAATTTACATGGTTTAGATGGTTTTCAATCACTAGGAATGATCCGTGTCAACGAAAGCATAAACACTGAAAAAGCTATTCCACTTGTTCAAGTCAAGAATTCCAGTTAGATTTAAACAACGCCATTGTAGCAACAATCACTGATGGTGCGAGTGTTACGATGAAATTCGGAAAAAAGACCAGTTCCATTCATGCTGGCTGTTTTGCACATGAAATCTATCTTTGTGTTTGCAAAATACTTTATAAACCTCGTAAGATAAACGATAATTTAGTTTATGACAAAACAGAAGAGGAAGAGGATTACAAAGAGTGAATGAGAATAATTAAGCACTGAGACAGAACTTTACTGATATTGGTGCTATTGTTGCTAAAATTCGTAAAATTGTTAAAGTTTTCAGAAAATCCCTTAGTCAGAAATGATGACAATCTTCAATCTCAAAATATTCATTCCTTTGGAAATGAAAACGTTTTATTTTGAGATTGTAAAACGCGATTAAATACCCTTACGGAAATATTCCATGGAAAATCCATGGAATTTCATGAGTAAACCATGGTTTTTCCATGGAAAACGGAAATTCCATGGAATTTCCATGAGTGAATTTCATGAAAATTGAAATCCTATGGATTTTCCATGGGTGAACCATGGGGTTTTTTTTCATAGCTTAAGCTGCGCCAAGGTTGTTACGAATGCGCTTTTAAAGATGGCGTCATAGCTCGTAGAGTTATGATTTCTTTTAACTTTAGTAAACAATACTTACTGCATTCTTCTGTTTTTCTGTGTTTAATAAGACTATGAATTATATGTTTTTTATAACGCATCACATTTATATGATTCAAACTAAACATACAGACATAAACAACTAGATATATTTATCATATTATAATGCATTATAAAATGAATTATTTTTAATTATATTTAATTATATATCATTTATGCATATACTTATTTTAACTGTTTCCAGTAGCTTTGCTTACTTTGCATAAGTTGCAATAGTATAGCAAGTGTGTCAAGTAAACCAGTTTGAATTTTAATGCTTACTTGGCAAATTATTTGCCAAACAATTATTATTTGGTTTACAACAAGTAAATGTTTAGTTTTAATCTATATTAAATAATAAGTGTATTAATGTACATAGTGTAATCTAATGTACATAAAAACTAATATAATTATTATTATAAAACTTATCTAACACATTAAACAAACTTATCTAAAATATTAATATACAACCAGTATATCAGATAAGATTAGATAACTAAGATAATAAGACTAGATAACTAATGTACAAAAGATAACTAGTATGATCTTTTGTATTTTTTTTTATAATAGCCTCAGATTATATAAAAATGCTTGAAGTTTATTGTATAGTAAATTTTCATTAAGTATTAACATTTTTTCATGATAAATGTTCTATTCAATTTTAGTTCTGTTAAGTTCGATCCCCACCACGTCCCTGGTAGTACCGCGCACAACTTGTTTCTCCGCGCCGCGGCCTTGTTCGTCAAGGTTCGTGTTTCGGAGTTATAGAGTTGAGAGAGGGTTATAACCACTATTAAGTAGCCTCCTCGTCTGTAGTGGCCTTTTCGGCCTTGAGGAGGTGAATAACAAAAAAAAAAAACTTTTTGTTGTTGTTTTTTCTTTAGAATTATTAGAATATGTAAATAATGTAAAATAAATATTGTTTATAAATTCTTTTATATTTACTTTATTATTTTATTTAAATTACTACATTATAAGCTGACAGGTTTGACTGGCAATATAAATAATGTTGTTCATCGTTTATATCGTTTATAACATCGTCAGTTTTTATATGCATTTAATATTTTTTTAAATAGTTCAAAAGATGTCAAAATAAAATGGTGAATTGAGTTTAAATTAACCATAAAAGATATAAACATAATCTTTGGGATTCAACTTGTAAGGATGTTCCAGGAACCACTTAGTTAGAGAAGGAAAACTGTGGTAATATTTTAAAAGTATCAGAAAGGGAAGTTATATAAATGTTACTAACATGCAGGTAAAATTTATATATGTGTATAAATCTTTTCATTTTAACCTTATCATTTTATTTAAATTACTACATTATTAGCAGGCAGGTTTAACTGGCAATAAAAATTTTTAATTTATTTATTTAGCCGTTCATTAACAAGTCCTGTGCTTTATAATATATTAAAAAATGGTAAGGAAGTGAAGAAAACAGGTTTGTAAATGATGTTGTACATCATGCAGATAGCTCAAAAGAAGAAGTAAGTTTTTTTTTTTAATTACAAAAGTAAATATATAATATAATATTTGTTTCTGCCTTGTTCTATATAAATGTTTCTTACATGCAGGTAACATTTATATATGTATTAGTTTGAATAAATCATTTGAATTAAGTTACATCATAGGCAGGAATGTCTGACTGGAAATATAAACGATGTTGTACATAATGCAGATAGCTTAGGCGAAAAAGAGGTAACAATCTAATAATTTTTATTTATAAATAATGATATATTCATTGCTACTTTTTTCTATATAAATGTTACCTAACATTTGGCAACATTCATAATTGTGTATAATGCCTAATTATAAAGTAAGTTATAATAGATAATAATTATAAGTAAAATGAATTAGTAAATAAAGAAAACTATTTAGAATGTATATAATAGTTGTATGATGTATTGTCTAGATTGGTGAAATGGAGAATGAGGCTAACTACGGTGAAAAAAATGAATATCAAAATGTGAATGGTACTTTGTTTAACATCTACCTGTTTCTACAGATACAGTACAAACGCATTTATAAATGGGCTTGATGTTTTTTTTGGATTGAATATGTTGTATTGATGGTTCTTTTTAACTTGTTAAAACTTGAAGTTATTATCAAATTTTTATATACTATTTTTATCAAATAGTTAATATAAAATAATAAACATGTAAATTGTTTTATTTTCTGTAAAAATTGTTTTCTTAATATATTTCAATTGTTTATCACTATGTATATCACTTATATTATTATATTAATTGTAATTTTTTGTTTTATTTATTTTTAGTATGTCATACATATGCATGCATTAAAAATTGTGGAAAAGTCAAGTTTTGATGTTTTAGGTGCATTATAGCTATTATTTTTCAAAGATTTGTAGGATTTAACAAGATTTAAATTTTATTTTGTTTATTGATTTTATTCGGAGAAAGCGATCCCATAGATTAAGAGATACTCAATGATATTAGTGAGATAAAATTTGCTTTTATGATTTAATATGACAATTCAAATAACATTAGATCAAAAAAACTTGAAAACAAATCTTGCTTTTTTACCATGAAAAATTCATGAGTTTTCCTTGGAAAGGTGTTCCTAATAACTATGAAAATTCCATGGTTTTTCCATGGATGGAAAATCATTGAATATCCATGGTATTTGGAACACTTTTCCATGAAAAACTCATGGATTTTTCATGCGAAACTCATGGGTTTCCCATGAAAACTCATGGATTTTCCATGGGAAACTCATGGATTTCCCATGGAAAACTCATGGGTTTTCATTGAAAACTCATGGGTTTCCCATAGGACACTCATGGATTTCCCATGAAAAACTCATGGGTTTTCATTGAAAACTCATGGGTTTCCCATAGCAAACTCATGGATTTCCCATGGAAAACTCATGGGTTTCCCATTAAAACGTGTTTCAAATAACCATGGTTTTTTTTCATGGGTTTTTTCATGGAAATTTTCCGTAAGGGTAGCCTTATTAAAATGCTACGAAGATTTAATGAAGATTGTAAAGAAGTTAAAGTAGCAATAATCCATCTTGAACAAGAACTCAATGTTTCCAATAGAGAATTAGAGAAGATTAAAGAACTATGCGATGCTCTTGCTCCCATTGAGATAACTTTAGAATTTTTATGCAAGGAAGATGCTGATCTTTTTCTTGCTGAAAAAGTTATTCAACTTGCTGCTAAAAAACTGAAAGATCAAAGGACATCTTGCTCTCCTAGAAAAATTTGAAGTCCGAATTCAAGAGAGAAGAAACTCCGATCTTGTACGCTTAATACAATATTTTAAATCTCCAGACATTTTAGAAGAGCAAAAGGATTATTTTGGTCTAAAAATAAAAAAACGTAATATAATATTTCTGGCTACTTCACTTTTAAACAAACTTTATCCACAGAAAGCAAGCAAAGAGCTAACAGTTGATTTTGAAGTTACTAGTACACCTAATCAAACATTAAAAAATGATGAAAAACATTAATTTCAGATGAATTTGCTTTATTTATTCAATAAACAGAGTATGGAGCTTTCCCCATAGATAAGATTAAATCTAAGATTTTGAAAAAATAGATGAATTTATTTGAAGCTAGTGGTACAAGACCTGAAAATCTTGAAAAACCTTTTAAAGCTTCATTAACTATTAAACCAACATCAGTACAAATTTTTTCAGCCATTTTAAAAGATTAAAATGGGATTTTTTGCAACGAAAATAATATATAGATTGGGAGATGATACCCTTGATGAAAAGAAAAAAAGAAAAATGTAGTTTAAAGATAAAAGTTATAAAACTTCTTCATTTTAGCCTTTCAAACAATTGTTGTTGTTTTTTAATAAAAATTGAATAAATTTACACCCCTTAGGTTATTTAATGGCTGCCGTAACATCTAATTGATAAAATTATCCGGGTATTACTCGGTCAAATTTAAAATCACCCATTACCCGGGTAAATATTTTTAGTCAAGTAATGGAAACACTGGAAACAATAGAATAATAAACACTAATTACCATATTATCTAACAATATTCTACAGCTATATTATATTTAATAACCGATTATTTAATCTACCGCTATATTATATTTAATAAATGATTATATTAATATTATATTTAATGCATTCTGGCATAAAAGTATAAAAGCCTGTTATTTTATAGGTAAAGAACCTCTTGTTAGTAATCTCGATACTGGAGAAGCATAAAAGAAAATACAGCTTTATCTTGTACAAGTTTGGTTTAACCTTAAAAACTCTAGAAGTTGATGGGCTTGTGTCGGCATTTTTTCTGTTATATTTTTTCATTAAAATTGACATTTGCACAAGTTGTAAGTTCATTTCAATAATGGATAGTTTTGCAATGTAGCAGAACAATGTAAAAAAAAGGACCTTAGAGTTGAATAGCTTTGCTGTTAAACAAGATTCCTTTAAGTCTTGTGAATTTATTTGAATAACATATTAAAAATAATAAGGATTTTTTCCGTTAACATATTTGAGAGTCCTTATCAATCCACTTGGACTGGACTATAAAAATCAGCTATCTTTGTGAGCTTTTCAATTAGTTATGTGCATGATCCAGTTTCTGAACACATAAATGTGTAGGAAGTAAGTATTTTGTAATGTAACATACAATTTGATATTATACTGTTCTAATTTTGAGGGATGCAGCAGTCAGACCAAGTAACTAAGCTGCTCATATCGCTTTTCCTCTGCTACAGCATCCGATATATTGCAAAAGGCACTAGAAAAATGCTTACCGGTATTGTCCACCATTGATTCAGTCCATAATGCTCAGTATTGTTGTTTGGTTGTTGTATAATATGCTTCCAAGTTAATCACACTTTACTTTCTCTCATTAAAAATAGTTTTATTTCCAACATTACTATCTTAACTTACAGTACTTTTAAGAGTCTTTTTGTTACACAGCCTGCTATTTAACGTTGCTAATAAACATTTTATTAAAAATTGTTCAACTTTTTAAATATTACTAATGTTAATGTATTAACCTGAAGTTGTACTTACATCAAATTGTACTTACATCAACTAACGGTAAAATTATGAGAAGACTGAATTGTCATTATTGAATTTAAAAAAGTAGTTTTTCCTTATAAAATCCATTTATTTTTGTTTTCAAAAGTTATTTCAACCCTGATAGTAATTTTTGTAGTACAATCTAAACAGTACTTTTTGTTGTGCAATGTAACGTATGTTTTTCTAACGTTATAAATAAGATTTATAAAAAAAGCAAATATTAGCGCATGAAATTCTCTATCAAAATATATTTAACTGAAAAGAATTTCAGCAATTTAGTCTGCAATTAGGTTTAGTCTAATTGTGTAATTTAAAATTAGGCAACTATATGAAAAACATGTTAGGGCTAACCTTAACTTGATAGTAGGAAACTTGTCAAACTAAATAAGTTAACTAAACCTGCAGAAAGAACTTTCGCACATTGGTAGTTCTCTTGTTTTAGGCTAGATCGCAGTAAATTTTAGTTTATTTTGTTTGTCATGATACAAATAAGCTAATAAAGTCATAATCTTAACTTTTGAAAAAAAGTAGGTAAGAACCTGTCAAAACAACGCGACGAAATGCGGTGCCTTACCATGAATTCCGTGATATATTTTTAAAAATTCACTAAGTGGCAAGGATTTTTCGGTTCTAGGAAAAAATCCCCTCGAAGAAAAAATCCCCCCAGAAAATACCGGCAGGCAGTCTGTCAAATAAATAAAAAATATATATTTTTTCATTTTGCATTCGTTTAATTTCACTTAGTTTCCTTTTATTTATTTTTTAATTTTTTTTTTTTTTTGCTTAAGCCGCAACTTCAACGCGATCGGACGTGTTTTTTTTTTAAACGACTTTTAAATAACAAAATTGTTTGAGGACTACAAAAAAGAATTTGAGTTGATGTTAAAACAACAAGAAAAAGTTTTTATTGATATTATTAGTGGAAACTTGAAAATATTTAATGGCAGGTTGGAAAAAGTAGAAAAAGACATCGAAGAATTGAAACTTAGTTTAAACTTTCATGAACAACTAATTGATGAAAAAGTTAAGAAAGCAAAGGTTTGCAGTAAAGAAGACAATTCAGAAAGTATACAAAAAAAGTTAAGGGAATTGGAAGATCGATCTAGACGTAACAATTTAAGAGTAGATGGAATTGATGAAAATGAAGGTGAAAGCTGGGAAGAAAGCGAAATGAAGGTAAAAAAAATTTTTGAAGATATATTATCAGTTAAAAATGTCCAAATTGAACGGGCCCATAGAACTGGAAACAAAAAATTAAAAATGCCGAGGACAATAGTGATAAAACTTTTAGATTTTAGAGATAAAGTCACGATCTTGAGCAAGTCGAGTAAGCTAAAAGGGAAAAGCATTTATATAAACGAAGACTTCTGTTTTGAAACAACACAAATCAGAAAAAATTTGAGGGAGAAAATGAAAATTGAACGAGCCGCTGGTAAGTTTGCCTTCATATCTTATGATAAATTGATAATTCGCGATTGGGTTGCAAAGAAAAGCAAAAATTTATCTTCATAATATTTGGCATTAATTAACGCAATTTTATTTTTATTATTACTATGCATATTTAATTAAACTGTTTTAAAAATGGAGGAAAATGTCATATTTAAATCTTCTAATGAAAATGACATCATCGGTGATAATGACGCCGACTCTAATTATTTTAATCACAAAATGCTAGAAAGTCAATACTACTCAGTTTCTGAATCTTCGCAATATCTAGGACAAACTAAAAACACTTTTTCAATTCTAAATATCAATATTCGAAGTTTAAATAAAAACTTTGAAAATTTAAAAATTTTATTGGATGAAATTAAACACGATTTTAAAATTATATGTTTGACGGAAACTTGGTGTAAATGCGGTGAAACAAATTATGAATTTGAACTAGTTAATTACACATCAATTCACCAACCGCGTGAAGTTAATGCGGGTGGGGGCGTTAGTATTTTTATCCATAATTCAGTTAATTATATTTTACGTAACGATCTCTGCGTCAATGAAACAGATTATGAATCATCGTGCGTCGAATTAGTAAAT